TGACAATGGGGTACAGTTCTACCCGCCCAACTTCACCATGCCCATCTCTTTCCCAGCTCCTGAAGCAGGCCATCAAGTATGAGGCTGGCTCGCTGATGCCCCCTCCTGGCTATAATCAGAACAGCGTTGTCTCTGGTGAGTCTCACTCCACACACTGTTGGGTGGAGTGGAGCAAGTGTGTGCTGGAGACCCCTTGCAGCCTCACCTCCCGATCCTTCCACAGGTGATCATTCTCAGATGCAGTTCTCCACGGTGGAGGAGAGCCCTGCCGACAACGTGCTGGAAGCCTGGCTCTTCCCTGTGGGTGGATGCTGATCTTGCAGCTCTGTCGATTGCTCTCTGAGCATTTGTGCTTTCTGGGCTGGGGCTGGGTCTTAGGGGCACCCTCGGCAAAAGCAAGCAGTGGGACGGCAAAAGCAAGCAGGGATTGAGGAGATACCTCAATCCCTGGGAACCAAAAAGCTGTGCTCTGCAGGGTGGGCCTTCTGGTCGGGACCACGTGGTGCTGACTGGCCTTGCCAGACCGAAGGAGCTCTGGGAACTGGTGTGGGAACATGGCGCCCACGTGCTGGTCTCCCTGGGCCTGCCTGATACCAAAGAAAAGGTGAGGGGAGTGGAGGGACAGGACGAGTGCCTCCAGGAATGGGACAGAGGAAGGGGGAGTGTGTGGTGCTGTTTGGTTGGGGCATGGGCAGAGATTTGGGAAGCTGACTGAGAGGCCTGTTTTGGTCCCAGCCACAAGACTTCTGGCCAATGGAGATGCAGCCTGTTGTCACAGACATGGTGACAGTGCACAGAGTGTCTGAGAGCAACACAGCTGGATGGCCATGTACCCTCTTCAGAGTCATACATGTAGGTGTTGAGACCACAGGGCTTGGGGTGGAAGACTGTGATAATGAGATTCCCATACTGGCTTCCCCCTGCCACACTCCCCAGCACCAATGTTGACCTTGCCCTTGTTCCAGGGGGAGACTGGAACAGAGAGGCAGGTCCAACGCTTGCAGTTTCCATGCTGGGAGTCTGGGTGTGAGCTCCCAGCTACCACCTTACTGCCCTTCCTGGATGCTGTGGGCCAGTGCTGCTCCCGAGGCAAGAGCAAGAAGCCAGGGACCCTGCTCAGCCACTCCAGGTGCTGACAACAATTGTCATGAGTTGACTTGGGTTATGGGTCAAAGGGTAGTCTCCAAGGCCTCTGTCTTCTCTCCTCCATCCCCAGGGATTTGGTAGGGTTCTAACCTGTCTGGTTAACTAAGAACCTAGCATTCTTTCCCAGTCCTTAGGACTCAATTTGGTTTTCCCATGTCTCCAGACACTGCCCCATTCCCAGAGGTCCCACCTCTAACTCTAGGTCAATTACAGCAAGGGCACAAACCAGCTGGGCACCTTCTTGGCCATGGAACAGCTGCTGCAGCAAGCAGGGACTGAGTGCACTGTGGACGTCTTCAACGTGGCCCTGAAGCAGTCACAGGCCTGTGGCCTCATGACCCCAACACTGGTAAGAAGCAAACAGGGAGGGGCTTACTATGAAAGGAATCAAATCCAAGCGGGTTCTGTCCCAGCTACAGATGGCAGTTAGGTAACCCCATTCAGGTCACCACCAGGTGGCTCTGTGGACCACCATGCCCTTTCCAGATAGAATAGGGGTTGGAAGACCCCTGTTTGCCTTTTTCTGTCAGATTTGGGCAAGTGGGTGACATACCGTGTCCATGTCTACCCACAGGAGCAGTATATCTACCTCTACAAATGTCTGAACAGTGCACTGCTGGATGGCATGCACTGAGTTGGAGAGTGTCCTGTACCCTACTAGGCACCATGTCCCAGGCCTGGCTTTGCTGGAAGAGCAGCTTCCACCAGGCCTCATGCTGAGAAAGGGTAAAGTCAATAAATAAAGTCACATGGTCAAACTCGTGGTTTTGTTCTGTTTCTCCATCCTTCCACCTGGGACAGGGGTGACAGCTGGGGCCTATGTCTAGCTGAGCCAGTTGGCCTGCAGATAGCATGCTCTTGGCATGGTGTCCCCTGTTCTCTAACCTTCTGCTTTTCCAGTGTGTTCAGACCTCAGCCTTTCTATACACAGCATCCTGCCACTAAGCCCCACCCAGATCTGGCTCCCACACACTCTTTGTTTGCCACCACAAATGTGTAGGAATTACTTAGTTTTTTATTACTCATCTTGGGCCACCTTATCCCCTTGTCTACCTGCCAATCTCCAGAGGCTATTCTCAGGTACTGCAGCAGGCTCCTTGACAGGGTGGAGGTGCTAGAGCCACACTGTGCCCTCTAAGTAAGGAACCAGAGGTGGCTCTGGTCTGACCTGTCAAGTTTCCTGGCTCCTTCACGTTCTTCCTCTCTTTTATATAGGAGATAATGGGAGGGATACGGAGAAGGGAAAGACTAGGAGACCCCTCAAAAAAGAAAGAAAAAGAAAAAAAGGTGTGTGGATGAGGCTCTCTGTAAGGCTGGATTATATACTATGGGATGTGATTGCCAACGGCCTCACAAGTTCTTGCCCACCTCCAAGTCAGACTCTAATAATGGCAGTGAGCCTGATGATTGGCACTGATTGCCACAGGAGGAGGAATTTTGGAGGACACAAAGAATGCCTGAACCAACCACAGAAATGCCCCTTTAAATGGATGTGTGTGTGGGGCTACCAGGGTTCTCATTGGCCAACTTGGTTCTTAGTGTGCAAGGGGTCAGCCAGATGGTCTGAGAGGGCCCTTCCCTTCTTTGGCCTGGGTGAAGAAGGGGAACAAAAGCTTTATAGGCCCTGAGAGTCAATTTGTAGAATTCTTGCCTGGTATGCATGAGATCCTGGATTTCACCCCAGTGTCACATAAATGTATAGTAGCCAGTGCCTGTAGTCCCAGCACTCAGGACGTGAAGACAAGAGGATCAGAATTCAAGGTCATCCTCAGCTACATAACAAGTTTGAGGCTAGCCTGACTCAAGAAACAAAAGCAAAAAAACTAAATAACAGAAAAGTGGGGCTGGGCCATTGAGATGGCTCAGTGGGTAAGAGTGCTTAATGCCAAACTCGGGTTCAGTACCTGGAGCCCATATAGTGGAAGGAGAGAACTGGCTCCTGCAAGTTGTTGTCTGATCTCCACCCTTGTGACATGAGCCACAGATACGTGCCTACACTACCCATACACAAGATAAGTAAGTTTTTAAAGTGGGGGCTTTCTGCTAGGTAGTAGCTTTCCCAAAGTGAGACTGGGCTCTGGTGCCCCTGCCCCAAGGACTGAATATCAATGTTTTCTTCGGTTCTGCATCTCTCAAGAGTCCAAGGAGTTGGCTTCTGAGTGACCAGGGCAGACTGGAAACTCATCTCTTAGCTACTCAGCTACTCAAGCCCACTTCAGAGGGCTGCTCCAGGGGTGGAATGGGGCCCAGCATTTTCCAGACTTGGTAGGAGCCCTGGAGCATCATGGGTGGTGTGTGTGTGTGTGTGTGTGTGTGTGTGTGTGTGTGTGTGTGTAGAGTAGAGCCAAGGCGGCTTCTGCCTGCAGGCTTGTGTGACCACAGAGGGTCTTTCTGTGACCTTCCTAAGGGCTCATTTTACACTTCTATCATGGCCTCAACTGGAGTCGTGGAAGCAGAGTTCTGGCTTCTTGGTCTGAGTGTGCAGCTCTCTCCTCACTAGTCCCAGAGTGTCCACAAAGGATGGAGACGGGCTGATGAGAGTGTTTGGGGCATAGAATTAAAGGGTGGAAGGCATCTTGACCCCTTTGAGGTCCTCATGTTTCTGGGGGCGGGGGACCATGGGAGTCAGGGCCAAAAGGGTTCCATCCTGGCTTAGTTTTACCCTGGGACTTGGCTCAGAGAAAGATCTGGAGACCAGAGGAAGCAAAAGGACACATGGAGAAATCTCTACTAATCCACCGTGGCCTAAGAAGAGAGCAGGGTCTTGAGTTTTAGCCATCATTGCTTGCCCTTGCTCTCCAAGGTCCTGGGATGGATTATGGAAGGAATTTGACCCTTAAGGTGGTAGAGCTGCATCTGTAGCACTGAGCCTCCAGGTGGCGCCAATCCACCAACTCGCTGGCAAGCTCTGGCAAAGCAGCTGTGCAGAGGGCAGCCCCTCAACGGTCCTAGGTCCTGAGATCAGGAATCAGGGTGATTTTCAGACCTCAAATCTGACAGCCTACACGAGTTCATTTCCATGTCCTGTGCATCTGGTGGAATCTATGCCAGTTTCTTTGGTGTCAGGGTGTGGCTCCTCAATGAGGGGTCCCTCCTCATTCCTACTGCCAAACTGCAAGGAACCACTCAGCCCAGGGGCTCCTTCCTCCCCTGGTCAGGATGGAGTGCGGAGGAATGACCTGGGCGCTAGTTCTGAGCCTGTCCCCATCAGCCATGTGACCTTGAACATCTCTTTTTCTCGTGCCTTCAGCGTAAAATCTGGTCGTGGGACTGGTGTCTGTGGAACTCTTGGGGTTTTATTCTGATGGCCGTCTCTGGTCCCTTGAGAGCCCCCTGGCTGTTCCCAAAGTCAAGAGGAATTCGACCAGTTGGGCCTGGGTGATCTGGGGCACCCATTCCAAACAAGTGCAGGTTTCTCCGATGTGCTGGCCGGTCCTAGCTTTGAGTTTCTTTGCTTTCTTAGTCTCCCCCAACCCCCTGGATGAAATTCCTGCCAGCTGAGAAGGAAGGAGGGAAGGGGAGCGAGTCACAGCGTAGAAAGTTTCCTTGACTCCTCCCCCCCATGTCTCCCTCCCTTGCCAAGCCCAGCCTGTGAAACTGAATAACGAAGATCACTCAACAATGCCTGCCCCTCTCTG